GTCCTACTACAACCATTGAGGAGCCTATGAGTGTGGATTGATAAAGATGGTTGATGTTGCAATGCTTGCTTTGGATGGATTTGAATTAAGATTTAAGCCTCTATGTTTGTTTTGCTTAAGCTATTTGTTTTATGTTAAGACTAATTTATAAGTATTTGATGTTGGATGGACTACTTTGCTTCATGTTTGATGTTAGATGGACTGATAAAGATGGTTGTTATTTCTATTTAATGATGAAGTTTGAATATTATATTGAACTTTAAGTCTTTAATTTTTTGAATGTTGAAACCGACCACCCAACTCACCCCGCACCGCCCCAACCCAACCCGAACATCGTTGGATTGTGAAATTTTTCTAATATCGTTGGGGCGAAATATGTGCAACCCGCACCCTTTGGGGCGGGGAAAAAAAAATCCTACCCCGCACCAACCCAACCCATGAACAGCCCTAGGTAAGTGGCACCCTGTGTACAAGTATTTTTTCCCCCTCTGTGCATGTATTTTCATTTTTTTTTTTTGGCTTGAAGCTATGAATTTTGCATTTGCAAGTCAATATTTCCTTCTTTCAGCCCTACATCACAGACCAGTGTTTGATATTGCTATGAATTTTTTTTTTTTTTTTTTTTTTTTTGGTTACAGATCGATGGTGCAGATGCTGCAAGAGATGTCTTAATAGATGGCATCAAACGCTTGCCTGATTGCATGTTACTTTTGGAGGTATATATGGCCTTCCATTATCTAGTCATAGCACTGCTTCCAAAACTTCCATTCACCTATATAATGTTTACAGAAAAACCTGCCTCTGCCTGTATGTCGTTTATAAAATATATTAAAAAAGAAGGGCACGTTTTTGGTTTGATTTTGCATAAGAGTCTCGCAACAGCATTTAATAGGTTCTGATTTTTTTGATTCAAAATGACTAATAAGAACTAGAAAGGGCTTGTTTTGAAATCAGGTTTCCTTTTGGTTGCTTCACGCTAAGCAATGTAAGGAATGAGCACTTTTTTGTAACTTTAAGAATTGAAGGAATGTTATACAACTCTGTTTGGTTTGCATAGACCCATGACCCCTTGTCTTCCTTTTCTTTGCATTTCTGTTTGTTTAAGAAAATTCTCGTTTCTCATTTTCCCTTTTTGTTTTCTACAAAAGAGATGCCTGATTCTTGATTCTACAGGAGTTAATAAATTTTGCTATAGCAAATGGTGGGCAGCGGCATATACACGTGGTGGACTGTGTCATAAATAACGCAATATCTCTAGGGTCAGATGCATCTCAATGTCTGAATGCCAAGGATGCAGAGGATGTTTCAAGATTGTATATAGAGGTTAAAGAAAATCTATCTTTGTTCTTATTAATGTGGAAAGTACAATACTTTCCACCATATTTCTAATATAGGAGTTTACATCAGAATCCCAAGAGGAAAAAGGATGAAGCATAAATTTGCACTATTGTGCAACTAATTCTGATCTCTATTTAGATGTGGATCGTTCCTTGGACACACGATCAACCATCAAGAATTTTGCATTTATTACTTTTCTTTTCCTTGTTATATTGAAAATTTATTCCACTCCATCTACTGCTAATGTTTCTAATAAATGTATTCTTGGGGTTGTCAATTTTAGCAGTTTGTTGACCTTTGTGGAACCATTCACGACGTAAGGAAGGCATGGAATCGGCACATAAGACTCTTTCCACGCTCTGTACGACCAGCTTTTCACAAGAAGCCAACTACTAATATGATTGTCACTAAGCATCAACAGTCGTCTCGAGATTGTAATCCTGACGACCTGGTAAAGCTGCCTTTTGAAGACAAGAAAACATTACTGCTAGAAAATTATGATTCCAGGTCTGGCCAGGATTCCGCTAATCATATATCAGACCAGAAAGTGCCAGCACGAAAGACTGATGATATTCAATTTGAGCAAGCCCTCACTAACCAATTTCAATCGGGAGAAGCTGATAGTGATGCACGAAAGAGAGAGATATCACCATCTTTTGAAGTTCCTGAGCAGTTGAGAAAAGATATGCCAGAAACAAATGTGTCATCTATACGTTTAGTAGACTCAGAAGCTTCCGAGGAGCCCAGAGAAGATACTACCAAATATCAAGTTGCGGAAGGAACTGAATCTGAACAAGCTCTAAAAGAACTCTCAAGTGGAGATGAACTTAAGCAAGATTATGATCATGAGCCCGAGCAATATATGAAGACGCTTTCATTGGATAGTCTTTCTTTACATCCTCGGGATAATTCATCTGTAGATTTAAATCCATCTGTGTCTTCTGCGTGTGAAATTCCTCAGGATGCCAGCAATGTGGAGGAAAACATGTTAGAGAGCAATCAGCACAATGGTGATGAAGGTTCTCTTACATACAATGAAAAAAAAACTAACACTTTTGATTCCCCTCGAACTGAAACCGAAGAGGTTAATTTCTCATCTTCCAGGAGCCATCGAAGTCCTATTTCAACAGAGCCCCCACATCAGCCATGTATGCCTGCAAATAGCAGCGGAAACTGGCATCAAATGAACAACACTGGTAAATTTCGAAGAGAATCCAAATTTGGGTCACAAGCGCACTTACAAAGAAGATCATATCAACATCAGCGGCGGGTTTCTCCACAACAACACCCACGAGCTGAATGGGGCGGTCCAATGTCTAAGAGTCAAGGTTACCCCTCGCAGGTTGCGTCTCCACATAGCCCACAAATTCAGCAAGGCAGCCAAGGTCAACATCAATATCAAGCACCTCCTGATAATGTAACACCGCCACCACCAAGTACCTGGCCTTTGCAGAATATGCAGCAACCAAATTACGCCGCATCACCTCAGACAATACAAAGTAGTGGAGATCATGGGATGCAAAACAGCCAAGCTTATAATCAAATGTGGCAATATTATTACTATCAGCAGCAACTTTTTCAGCAACAACAGCAGCTGCAATCGCCTCAGCAACAACAGCAGCTGCAATCGCCTCAGCAACAACAGCAGCATTTGCATTTATACCAACAGTATCAGCAGCAGCAACAACTTCAGCAGCATTATTATTCTCATCCGCAACCTTATCAACAGCTTCAGCTTCAACAACAGCAATACAATCAGCAGCACTATCCGCCGCAGGAGCAACTTTATCAACAACCTCAGCAACAGCAGCAATTTTATCAACTTCCTCAGCAGCAGCAACTTCAGCAACAACAACAGCACCAGCTTTACATGCAACAAGTAGTACAGCAACAACCACCACCACCACCACCACAACAACAACAAATAGAACAAAAACAACACCAGCAGCAAAACAGTCAATCACAAGTTCAGGAATTACATGGCACCTATTATCAACAGGTATGTCTTAAGAATCTGCTTTCAGCAACAAATATTTACTCCCTCTCCTTTCAAAACATGTATGTTATGTGTTGTGATGAGGGTATTACTGCATCACATACTATTTTGGTTTATTGACCTTTTGTTCTTGCTGACCAATAGAACGCTTCTTTTGAAAACAATGGAACTAGTCAGTCGGTCCCAGAACCAGCATCGCATAGTATGGCTTCTCAGGTGAGAGCAACATGGTTTGTAGTTAAGATATTACATAGCAGAGAGCAACACATAGCAGCCATGAATGCACTAATAAGAAGTAGGGGCTCTGGTTATTACCCTTTAGGTTATAGAGAGGTGGAAAATGCACCATTATATAATTGTCCAATATCTTGCTTAAGAGGCTCTCCGCAAATTATATATTGATACTACTCTCTTTTGGGTTTGTGTAGGACCAAGAAATACCACCATCAGATGCAAGAGAACCAGGTTTATCTGCTGCATCTCTCTAATTCCCTACAGCGATCTCGAGGGAAACAATGATGTCGGTTAATGTGGGTTCCAATCCATTCTGCCTAGTCTTGAGAGTTTAAAACAGTTCACCGGCTGGAAATGGGAATTTCTTAGCTTTATCGGTATATTGATAAAGTAACCCTGTTGTTGTGTTGACTTTACCTGAGGTCTTTGGCATATCAATGAAAAGTTTGAGCTTCCAGTGATTTCCAAGTGCACTCAACATGTTCATATGGCATTGAGCCAAAAGTCCGGGCTTGTTTAAGCTACTAGGGGAAATGACACCAAAGAAATCAAAGCTGGGGGGTTTTTTTTTTTCCTCTTTGGTCAAGGATTATCTTTAAACTAAGGTTGCGTTTGGTACGAGGGTTCTAGAACCGAAATTATGATTCTGGTTCAAACCTTTGTTTGTTTGCAAAAAGTAAAAAATAGTTCTTGAAAACCAGTGTTTAGTTTATATGGTTTTGGTTTAATATTTGAATCCTGATGTGATGTTTTAAATCGAAATCACTCTAAAAACTAACATCACCTCCCCCCATGATTTTGGATGGTTTAAACCTCCGGTTCTGATTCTAGTTCTAGAATTATGTTTTGGACCCAAAGTTCAAATCCTAAATCATGGTTCTAGTTTTAAAACTAAAACTATCCTAATTTGAACTCTTATACCAAACGCAACCTAAGTTCAGAACCAAAAGGAAATTGAATTCTATGCTTTCTTTTTTTTTTTTAGTAGGACTTGAGAGATCCGAAGGGATGGAAGATGAGCGGCTTCTTAACTATCTTCTCTTGTCATCGGTTGGAAAGAAGCAACAAGTAAACACTTTGATCTAATCATGTTGTCTTGTTGGATAACCAAGATAAAAGGGTTTCAGAATAGCTACTTCATTTCATTGTTCTTTTTACCAATTGTTTCTGGGGGAAACGTTTACTAATCTTCATTACATTAGATTACTGCTTATCTAATAATACATTACTGACGAATAAATACAACGAACATTGCGCGTTCTATGATATTTGATTGAATTTTTACGATTTTCACACGCTTTTGGTATTTGTCCTTTATTCCAACCACACTCGAGAACTTTCTTTGCTTCAGCTAATAAGATTAAGCCACAAGTTTAAGAAATTAATTATCCATTTGTTTCGCAGATTTAGACCACTATTCTCCACTATCCTTGATTAGAAGAAAGAATTATATGAACTGATTTGTGTTTATCTTTAGATTTCTGACTACTCTAGGCTCAAGGGAAGCCTAAGCCTAGTACCCGAGAAATTTGAAAAATAAAAATATAAAATACAAAAATGGGGCTTTAACATTCTAATTCTAATTTCCTCATTCAGCATACTACCATCAATGTCGAACGTGCAATCACATTTATACAATATTAATCTGCATAAGTCACTCAATTTTGTAGCCTATAAACAGGTTTCCAAGAACATCTTAGTGGTTTAGAATAATCAAAGGACCAAAGAAAATGCAAGTAGAATTTAAATCACATTTGACAAGAAAATTTGAGAAAATTTCAAAAGGAATCCAATGACACAAAAATGTCAGATAAAAAGCCTGTATTCTTCCTTGTTCAAGACCAAGGTTAGTAAGCTGCTATATGCAAAATTGGATGGAAAAGTTTATTAATGCCAATCACTTGTTCAACTGTTACTACTCTTCAGAGTGGCACGGCAATTCAACACGAGTTGCTAATTTGCAATGCTTATTCACAAGTCATCCTTTTTATTCAGTTGACAGACCGAGCCGCAAACGCGATTTTATTCGGAAACAAACTAAAACTAGAGCAAGTCATTGTTAAGAATATATTCCATGAGTAAAGGAGAATGGAAAGAAGAAATAATTACATAAATAGAGGGAGGGACAATTAGGATGCTGAATTAGATCATCCATAGATCGGAAAAAAGTTCAAAAAGTTCACAGCAAGAAGAATAAAAATCGCTATTTTAGGTGCTATAAGAAATGGATAGCAGCACAAGAACATGTTACATAATTTCTTCTACATCCAATGAAAATTTGGCCACTGGCTCAATATAGAACAAACATATCACAGCAATATTAAATGATACAAAGTGGATAGAAGTCTAAAAAATATGGTAATAATACAATGGTCAACAAATGAAATTACACGACTAATTCTTTTATTTTTCTGGGATGAGTTATGAGTACGTAGTTAACTTGTTCTCAATGTTGTTTCACATTCACAATATATATATATATATATATATATATATATATATATATATTCTCTGAATTGGGGGGGAAAAAGGGCTCGTGCTGCTCTAAATACCTATACCTATATCAGAAGGATTAGCAGCAACAACACTCTGCTTACCTACTAATTTGGCATTAGCAGAAAATCTATTACAGTTCTCCGAATGACCTGCAGACAATGCATGCAAAATCATAAGAGTAAGAATGTCAATTCTAGCAGAGATAATGACAAGCAGGGATGATTAATCATACAACCCATAAACCATTATCTCTGCCTCCCACAATTCTTTTAGGTATCAAGCAAATATGGAATTTTTAAGCCATTTCTGTCTCCACACTCTAGCAGCCCATATCAGGAGGCCCCTCCCAGATTGCCAATTTGATCCATCTATCTACTCACTCAGTCTCCTATGTGCACAATTTGTTTCCTTAACTCAGAAATTTCTAAATTTAGATTCTTCAAAAAGTTACTGCAAGAGTTATATGCATCGCTGTAGAGGATGATGTTCTTGACACTCGTTGTTTTGCTCTATATCTCGCTCGATCCCATCTTTACCAATGAGACTCATTATATTGTCTCATTGCTCTCATAGAAACCCTGATGTACAGAAAAATGTTATCTATAGCTTTATATTATTAGCAAGGAACTATTTACATCAGACTAGTATCCTCGCAACACAGATAAAATTAACTAACTGGAATGCCAACATCGATCCGTCTTCCCTTGGGAAGCTACCTCTCCTGGTTCTTATAGAATCACTCATATTACTAAGCACAAACCACACAACAAGGTTATAGAAAACGGGGGAGGCAAGTAATAATTGAGGTAAAATAATGTGCGTCAGAACATGAAAAGTAATGCATTGAGAAAAAGATTTTCACACAGATAGGAGCTAAGTTAAAGATCTTGAAAAGTAGATAAACAAACAAATAAATTAAAAAATTAATAGAAAACAGACCGTAGATTTTGCTATAAGAGGAAATAAAAAATAAAAAATGCATCTAGGAGACAGAAGAAAATGATTCTTGAACAGAGAGACATTATAGGGAAAGTGTTAATCTGCTTAAATAAACAGACAAGGATGAAATACCTTACAGCTTTCAAATACCTGGGCAAAAGAAGGTTGATAAAGCAAATATGAACCTGATTAATGCTCAGAAGACTCAGTCCAACCATGACTGCATGAGATATTAAAAACGGTTTATATTGGTTTCAAGAATATATTGTCACCAAACCCAAATTTTCCTGGAGTAAAATTTTTCCATCCTCTTCCGCATTATACTTCCTATGTGAACTAAAATCGATTTAATGTCATGCGAACAGTCATTTTCAATCTTCTGTGTTCTCAATTTGGAAAAATAAATGAAAATATCGACTCCAATAATTAAAAAAACACGCAGACTAGCATCCTTAGGGCATCTGTTGCAACAAAAATAAGATAAAGACGCAGACTTTCATATCCTTCTACTAATAGTATTCTCACATTAAATACCAAATGCGGGCCTAACAGGAGAGCTTCCCATACAGTGATACCTTAGCTTAATTAGGTAAAGTTGTGTACTTTTGCTGCCTTTCCCAGCCTTATTATCAACAATAAGGTGCAACTGCAACAGGATTTGCAGCACGCACTTTCTCCTCTTGAGACTTATAGCAAAAGCCTAGAAGATACTCTTCCCTAAAGTTAAAAATACTTGTTTACATCATGGTCTCTGCTTCTCTGTTAAACTCGAAGAACAGTTTTTTAGGCCTGATGACAGCTAAACTTTATCACTCTGTAATTTCATAATGCTCTCCACACAAGTAAACTATACAAGACTAATACGCTTTGGCACCTTATAGACCTGAGTAGCTTCATCACATAAAATCAAGCATCTCACAATGTGCGAAAGCATCCATATTTCAAAAGGCTTGTCGTGTGTTCAAGGGGGGAAAAAAAATTACAGCACACAAGAATCAAGATGTTCACTGTAGCATATGGAAACACATTTTAGAAGTACCAAGTTATCAAAGAAAACTCGGAAAGAAACGAAATTAAACCATAATGATGGAATTATAGTGCTCTAAGAGCTATATCTCCTACTGAGATGGTATTAATTATTGAGGACCAAAGCCAATTATGGGAAAAAGAAGAAAGAAGCTCACATCAAGGGTCATATTATATGAATGACTGCGTAGAATGTTCCCTTGCCATATACGAGAAATAAGGACCTGCTTTAAACTATCTCCCATTTTTCTTCATATTCTATTTTTTTTTTCCTTCTATTTGCATGCTTGCTTTTTTCCTTGTTTCTTTTCCTTTTTAACAAGTCTTTGCCCTGGTATTTGAGTTTCAGGTTTTTCGTGTTTCACATGTTAGTCATACAAGTATCATATTATCTTCATTCATTAGGCTTAGTACTATTTTTTTATTGTAGACATATCGTTGATTAAATTGTTATGAAAATCATCAAACTTCAAGACTATCTCAAGATTCCAGGGTTCAAATTTAAGCATTTCCTTAAGGACGATTTATTTAAACTGGTACTAATTATGTTTCTTTCTAGTTTCTACCAAAATCAACTTTCTAGAGATTCTCTATGAATAAGTCGCTTTGAATTATGACCTGCTGTCATTCTTTTAAACAACTACATTAGGCTTGTCCCTCTATATTCACTGCATGGACTTCCTATTCCCACTATGATATAAGCACTACAACTAACTACAAAAGCATTAACTAACACCACAAGAATGAACATACAAATACAGATGCTAAGGGTCAGCAAGAAATTGTTAAAAGCAATTCTGCAAGAATTACATTTCACAATATAACAGTAATTCATGTACACCCACTTAAACTGTACAATCGAAATAAACAAGACATACCCTAAAATTACCTTTGAAAAACAATTAGACAGAGCATTCCGGAGAGAAACCAGCTGAGAGGATGGAAGAAAGGGAAAGTAGTAATGCCTAACTCAAAGTAAGAAAAAAAATTGCTGACTATATAGTTAATACCTCAAGGCTTGAAAGTAAAGATATCTGAGATAGATTAGACACGAAATTTTGCTAAAAATCAACAAGGGATAAGGGACTGAAATAAGAATGACAAGGGCTCTTATTCCTTGTTACCAAATTTCTTGGCAATGATGGGCCGAACATCATCAGCGTCTACAAGAGTCTCTAAGAAGGGAAGTAATGCAATTAGTGCCCTGTCTGCTGGATCATCAAACCAACTCTTTATTGGAATCCCATTATTCACTTGCAAGCGAAACACCTGAAATGATTTGAACAGAACAAGGATTAGGTACTTTAAAAAAAAATCAAAAACAAAAACAAAAAAAAAAAAAAAATCAAAAATCCAACAATGGCTAGTTTATTTCTTCTACTTTCACTTCTTCCCCGGCCCGCGCTTTTCTGGCAACCCTTTCCCTATGCTAGTAGACACCTTTTCCATGTCAGCACTAACCAAGCTGAACCAACCTTATCTTCTATCATTTTATGACTGTATCTCTTGTCCTTTCCCACAAATCAACTTAGTGAAGGACTATTACAAAAATTGCTTCCTTAGTTGTCTATCTCAATTCTATCAATAAAAGTTTCATAAGATTCTCCTTCCTTTGTGTGTATTTTCACAACATTTTTTTTTTTTTACCACTTCCCAGAAAAAGCAAGGTTGAAATCGTGATAAATTACCAAGTAAAACTAAGCCATATCCCATATCTGTGTATGGTGGCGGCAATATTTGTAGAGAATTGCAACTCTTTTCACACAAAAACATGATGATTGAGAAGGATTAACATCTCTCAAATGAAAAACATAACATAATCCAATCTAGAAAATCCCCATCAGCCAAAAGAAAAAACACTCAGCAAAACTCAATGGAAAAAAAAAAGGACCGCGAAAAATTAAAAGGGCTCAGAACAATCAAACAATAGTACAAGTTAGGCACGAGATGTACCTGTGGAGAATTATCAATTATAGCAACTTTTGCAAGGTCAACACCTAAAACTGTCAAATCTTTAGTGTAACTGCCATCTGAGAAGATGCATGACTCACGATAAACTCGCCGAGATATAAGCTTTTGATCTGGATCCAGAATATCAAGAAGCTGCTCCGCATATATGCTTTGGCTGGCAGTAAAAATCACAACTTCAAACATCTCAGCAACTCGCTCCAAGAATGTTCTGAGGTAAGGCCTCTTTCTTACATAGACAGTGTGCTCTTTCATGTTGAAAAAAACAGTAAAGGTGAAGTCCGCATCATCACAAGGATCCAATGTAGAATGGACGAGTGTTTCTGCATTATGAAAACGGGAGATTAACCACTTAAAACATACAAGCAAACACATGTAGATTATGTTGTTCCTCTTAATTAAGACCAATTTAATTGACTGTCTTCTCACTATTTCGCCTTCTTCTGCTTATGAGAACCCATATCTTGAGGAATCTAATAACATCAATTGCAAAACTGCATACTTAAACTGGGCCAAAGTTAAGAAGTTGGCAGAAGTAGTAATTGAACTGACCAATTGCTCCCAGAAGTATTAGTTACAATATTTCAAAGAAATAATAAGTACTAGTTACAAAAAACAGATTCAAATGCAGAATATGATCAGTTGAGAAGTACACAATATGGTGACTTGGTCATTGCAACTCAATAGACGTACCATCCAAATCAAGTACTAGAGTTATTAGCTTCCTTTTAGGAATGTCTTCAGGCAATTCATTCCGTTGAAAATTGGACACCACATCTGATAATTCCGGCAAATTTCTTATGAACAACTGTGGATCAAAACATTCTGCCTGATCTGAGTCAGAAGAGTTAACAGCAGTATCCTGGTCGCAAGGTCTAATCTGTTCGATTGCTAGGAACAAGCCAGAATTATTTGGATCCACTATCGCTTGTTCACATGATTTTTCATCATTGCAGTTACTGCTTCGAATAGAGTCCTCTAACAAAGGCAGTACCATGTATTTCTCAGAAACATCAAACAGCACATTTGGCTCCGAATGCTTGTAATTCGAGAAGCAATTTGTTTCACTAGTATCATCAAATGCATTCCCATTAAAGGGAAAGCTTGTGACGATCATGTCAGAAATGTAGAAGTCTGACACATCACAACTTTGATAGTCGTCTGAACTTCGGTTCTCATCACTGTCATCGGCTCCTGACCAAGATGTGCTGGGATACTTCTCACTCCCTACTGCAGGTTGATAAAAAAGATTACAATACCATATACAAGCGCTTCACAAAACATAACAAAACAAACTCTGCTAGGTAAATTTCTCAAACTAAAATTACATTTTTGAAGCATACTAGTAGTTTAATTTTCTCTCCTTTCATCCTACAACTACATTTTATCCTCAAATTGGCATGTGCATTTTTGTCATGTTAGTGTGCGGTATCAATCCTCGTTTGTAGGTTATCTTTTATTTCCTAAGGGTAAAGGGTAACAATGTCAATCTTGTGCGTATTCCACAGAAACACCTAATGGGGCATAACTATGTCATTGGCCCTTTCAACACACATACCTGCATCATTGCCAATATTTGCCTCACTATGGAATTCAACAGACTCTAAAGAAGGAGAGAAAATAGTCTCCAAGTTTGATTGGCAAGCATGGCTAGACTCCTGCAAATGATAAAAAGAAATAAGTATACTACAAAATCATATGTGAAAAGTATTAACTTTTTGAACGATAAGGGAAGTAAAAAGTGCAAAGGGTAGAAATATAGTAATTTTCCCTTCTCTGTAAATAATTATGACTAAACAAAACCAATTTATAAACTGGCTAATTACAAATAGAAGTCTTTTATAGACTAATGTTAGCTTTTAAAAGAAAAATTCCTACTACCCATTATCCGACATATTCCGAGATTGGCAACTGCAATATGACAGTGTTGCCATTGAAGCCTCACATATTTAGCAACATAACAAACTTTGACATCTATTCCACTTAACGCCTTTCAATAATCAGCAACTCCAAGCTTGCTAGAACTTTTCTCACTTGAGAAAATTGCATAAAGCAACAGAAACTTACAACACTCTCAAAACTCAGCTATATACTATCAAAAAAATACACATATACTAGAAGGTAGAAATGGCAGACACTTTGGAAAATGCCCAAGCATTTTCTTAGGAAAAGAAAAAAGAAATATTTCTCGTTCATAAAGGATAAGAAATGACGTCTACAGTACCAAGAAAAGCTAATTATGAAAAATTATCGCACAAAATGACAGACTAAAGAAACTTAAATTTCAAGAAATACCGTTACTTCTCATTGGATAGAGTAAATAACTATTTTACCATTCTTCCCATAGTTGTAGAATCACAAGATTGCTTCAGAAACAGAGAATTTTCTTCATCTAGAAACTCTCGATAATAATCGACCTCTTCATGGCATGCAATGTCCTTAGCAGAAACTTGAATACTTGTATAAACTACGAGAAAAGTTAAAAGGTAGTTGGAAAGGATTAGCGCCAATCTAAATAGCAAGGCAAATTATAACAGCAGACAATCACGCATTTCATAGTCGATGAAAATAAATACTTTTCTTAGTAATAACATGTTTAGTCGATGAAAAGAAATATTCTAAGTAAAAACACGTTTTCTCAAATTCATATCAATTCGCTCTTTAAAGTCCAGGCAACAAAACCAGGCAGCTTATTAAAGATATTAAAAAATACTACTTCCTTTTGCTGCCTATTGGTGGACCCTGTAGCACACTAAACGATAAATTACTTAAAAAGTGAAGAAGGAACTGATAGGATATAGCTAGAGCTGCAAGACTGGGAACTCAAAATTCATGTCTGATTGAAGTCTACAACAGAACTTAACATCAAAATATGCTTACCATCCTGACAATTCTGTAAGCAAGCATCAAGATCTGCTGTACATTCAGGAACTCTGACAGGCGAGCATGCTTTTTTGGAAATTATACTCGACTTTTGACATATACGAAGACCATTTTTTTCTCTTAAACAGCCCGTGCTTGATTGGGTCTTCATTTTTAAAGATGGCATTTGCTCTAGACTTGTGATATATACAACCAACTTGATCCAGGAACATCAGCGGGGAAAGAAAACCCTCAGGTCGAACCAAGCAGCACAAGTGACTATAAAAATAAATAAATAAATAATCAAGAAAAGAATCACAAAAATTGAATACAGAACAAATTATTATGATTATTTTCATAAAATTTAATTAACATGGGTATGCAACTGGAGAGATCAGTTACTGAGCTCTGTGTACTTGTGGTATTAGTATTACACCGGTGAAACAAAATCAATGGGATTTAAAAATGCAAAAAATTCACTTCAATTAAAAATTCAAATGTTTAAGAATCCTGTTGAAGTGCCATTTTTTTTTCCAAAGAATCATCTATTTCAAAGTAGCTTACACATCAATAGTTAATAAGCATTTAGTCACTAAACGTATAAAGGCGGTTTAAATCTATCACAATAAAAACTTAAAGCGTTGATGACAGTTATCATTCTCACACAGACCGCATCGTCACCACAGCAATAATTACATGAAAAGAATTTTTGAAAAATACATTACTGCAAGAAAGATATTAATTAAACTTATAAATTTCCTTTAAAGTATTAGTACCTTTAATATTTTGGAGTATTCAATTTATTCGTCTCTCTATTAATAAAAGAGTACTAAGGTCTTTAATGAGTCAGTTGTCCCTCTAAACAGAAGTCAAAGTGTCGTAAAACTTGACTCGTAAGCTTCTTGATTTTAGAACTAAGGGTCTAACTTGGGGTTCAACTGATTCCTTAAATATTCTAATAAGATGACATTCCACTTTTCATGGGTGATTTTGAGAATTTCCCAAGGAAAATGTAGGAGATACGCGTTATATTTCCAAGGAGATGCCACTTTCATCACAGTTTTCCAGCCACAAATCCTTGTTTCTAGTTTGTTTTCAACACTTAACTGATAAAGACACAACAAATTGGCTTGTCCTTGTCGTTCCAATAGGCAAAAACTACAAATAAAAGGCCATGGCTCATAAAAAAGAGCCAAAACTCAAAGCTCGAATTAGTACAAGACAAGACCATCCCCACTCCTCCAATTACCATCACCAAACGAATTTAGGTTTGTTATGTATTTGTGAAACAATTGATGACTTGGGTCTTCAACATGACTCTAAATTAGACCAAAATAGAATCTAAAATTCCAACCTAGTAACTTCATCAAGTATTGTCTTTTTTTTTATCATTGAAAAAGGTATTGTCAGATTGGACTTGAAACAAGCAAAATTAATGAAAACAAATAAATAAATAAAAATCAATGTTCACAAACATCAATTAAAAGCAGCAATTCAAAAGAATAACTATTTGATAAGATACACAAAATTGTTGAAAACAAGAAACAAAAAGAGACTAAGAAAAAGCATACCAATTAGATATAAAGTCCGGAAACCCAAAACCCACATCACAGAACACCAAAATTCTTCAAGTAAACGAGGAGAAATTAAGGTCAACCCAAGTGAGTTTCATTTCCCTCAAACCCAGAAAAATGAGAAACCGACAGAATTACAATACCAGAAGCGGCTAAACAAAAACATTCTCTCTCTCTCTGTTCTCAAAACCATAAATTAAAGAAGTAAAACCCCAGAAAAGACCAAAGCTTTAGACTTACCAAATTATATGCAGTCAAACTATCAAATTACAGTAAAAATTGAAAATAAAAGAAAATTTGTAGACAAGAGTAAAAAAAAAAAACAGTTAATACAAAATTGAAGACGAAATAGTTTGAGTTAAAAATAGAAAATAAAAGAAAATTTGTAGACAAGAGTAAAAAAAAAAACAGTTAATACAAAATTGAAGACGAAATAGTTTGAGTTAGCCATACATACCCGTAGAGAGAGCAGAAGGCTCTCTCTCTC